CATCACAACTTGATGTTTTGGCCCAGGGATCAGGGGTTTTGTTTTTAGGTTGGGGCTCTATTGATTATATAGTGAAAATGCAGTAATTCTTTGAAAATCTCTGCTCCAAGGTATGAGATAAACTAACAGAGTATATAGTTATGATGAACTAGAGAAAGCCTCTACCAAAATTATAGATTTGATGGCCCTAGGGTCAGGAGTTCTGGTGTTGAGGTGGGGCTGCTTTGCTTATATAGTGAAAATACACTATTTCTTTGTAAATCTTCTTTTCTGCTCCTGGATATTAACTTTGTGCATAGAAATGATAAGCAAGAGTGCCTCTACCAAATTCATGAATTTTAGGGTCTGAGTTTCAGGGGTTCTGGTGTTAGGATGAGGCTCTATTGATTATATGGAGAAATGGAAATATAGGAATCTCTTTATCAAAAAAATGATATGTAGTTAGAAATAAAAAGACCTCTATTTTGATTTTTATTCTTGTATAACAGAAAAAATCTACAGCAATTGACTAGATCTATGAAAATGCTGTAAAATTAAAAAAAAATGAAATAAAACCTGCAGATTCGGATGAGAATCTAAGAATCCTTATGGTGGCCTTGTCCATATGTCAGATGTTGACATTAACTATTTAAACACAGCTGTCCTGTCTCATCATAACTGATCTGTAGTTCTCTACTTCCAATTTAAGAGTAACAAAGTGAAACAACATGTTGAGAACCCCCTTGCTTGTTTGCTAAATGTTTAAACGTATAAACTGCTGCCACAACAGGTGTGTCTCAGATCCTCCCTGCTTAAAGGCCCTGAGTGCCAATCTAGGTCTAAGTTTGCAGCCCTTCACCGGCAATGGTGACTCTCCATATCAGTGAAATATTCTGGAGTGGGACGTAAAAAGTATACAATCAATCTTCAACTGAAACATTTTTATATATATTTTTATATGGAAAGAAATACAATGTCCCGTTTTTCTGCATTTAAATTTGGAATGCTTAATCTCAAAATTTGAAGCAGGTGGTACGTTATCCAAAATAGGAGGTAAAGCCAAACAAGATACCACTTGGAATGGCGAAGGCATGAGCCTGCTAGGGGGGGGGGGTCCGAGCATCTTTCCTTTTACCCTTTTGCAGATACAAGTAAATTAATCCTGGAAATTAAATCAACAAGAAAAAACTGGCCTCCATGAAATTTAATGATTCCCCGGTTTTAAAATTTCACCCTTCATTTTTAACTTGTTTTAGTTCGATCTCTATATAGTATGAAGATTTCATCCCTGTAAATTAACTTATCAATGAAATTGTAATTTTAGCCAAGCTTTAGTCCACAATATTAAATGAATCCAGAATTAGACATACATCTATATCACTAGCTGCAGAACTGTAGCATTATGGTTTTATATAGTTGTTTTTGACCATTACGCTAAAGATCCCATAATGCAAACTTCGAGGCACAATTTTTTGCGCACTGTTTTGGAGAATTTCAGCAATCTCCAGCATTGGTAAATCTTCTACTTTTCCCTCGATAATCTAGAGACATTTTAAATAAATCTGTATGTTTTATACACCTCCCAACCCTTCTTAGTCATCTCTGCAAGTGATAAACTGGATTGAATTAGAATTTTCTGCAATCTCTTAGAGAATTCAAATCAAGGTAGTTTATCACCTGTAGAGGCAACTATTAATGGTTGAGAGGAGGATAAAATATACAAATTAGTTTAAGAATGTGTCTGGAAGTAGAGGGGTAAAAACTAAATGATTTACCAAAATTAAAAATTGCAATTCTCCTAAACAGTGGGCAAGAAATCTTGCACATTAAATTGCACATTTTTTGGTCACCTGAGTTTAGTCAAGTGGCCTATTGCTATCTGTTATCGTCTGTCGTTGTCTGTTGTACGTCGTTCTTTGAAAGGGGTTAACTTTTGAACATTTTTAGCTTCATTTCTAACTACTGAATATATTTCAAGCAAATTTGGTATACAGCATCAATGGGTTAATGGAAACAAATATTGTGAATTTCATAGCCGCTTCAAAACTTGGTAGAAAGATGAACAAAGTTGTATTGATTTTTTATGAACAAAGGGAAGTAACTCTTACTGATATTAAATTTTCTGGATTTTCTTGAGTGAATTTAATTTTGTTATTTGTCTACTTCCTTGTTTACCAAATAGGAAACCATGGCAATGTTAGATGACATTAAAAATGTGTGATCGTACAATATAGAAAGTGGACACAGGGCATCAGAAGTTTCAAAATGTTTAAAAAATAAACAAGTCTAAAATTTTGAAATTTTTAAGCCACAGTCACGAATTCATATAAAGTTTCAAAGTGACATTTATGATCATAACAAACCCCTGCTGTTGATGAAACAGCTTAGGGTAGAAACTTTCATTTTAAAAAGACCACATAGTGGTTTATGGCACCTGATCCCATCTCTGATGTTTTCTAAAGTGGTAATTCATTGTTTTGCTCCTAATATGTTAGTCCATCATTTATACACTGAATTGACAACAGATAATCACATGACCTGCTCTGTAGTCAGCTGATTCCCAATATTTGTTACTAAAATAAATAACTGGTCAAGTGGTGCGGGATTGAGAACAAAAATTAATAAATACCGTTTAGTCTTTATTTAACACCAATATCATCTGAGTACATCTGACAGTTACCTGTCTGTTTAATTATACAAAAATCCATTATATGCATTTATATATATATATATATATATATATAGATATATGTACAGAAGTTAATTTTACAAATCAAGTTTAGATAAAATAATATTTGATTGATTTTCTCCATTGCATAAGATATTCATTCCTTACAAAAAAGAAAAAATGGTTGCTTTGATGGAGGATAATGCATTTACCTTGTAAGATACAATATACAAATATTTTATTGATTTTCTGGGATTCATTGAATTTTGTTTGAATTCATCCACAAAAGTCAAGCGGAAGAAACAAAAATTAAACATGTTAAAAGTGAGATCACTTATGTCCAATACCTAACTTCCTTGTATATTTCTAGTGAAATACATAATATCAACACAAAAAACTGGCATATTTTTATATAAATTCCTTTAAAAAGATTAACCTTTATCCAAAGGTCACCTCTCTATAAAGGTCACTTTTAATGGATCCCGTAGGTGACTGCTTAATACAGGTTTGACTGTAATTATGACAAACAATGGTGCCTCTTTCATTTTATTATGGACTAGTTACTAGTATTAGCTTTATAATACATGTAATAAAACAGACAGAAAAGAAAATATGAAATCAGAAGAGTATATGTAAATAATAAATCTCTATCAGATATACTCTTACAAATATCATCTGATATTTAATTAATTAAGGGAATCCATTGATAAACTTTGTATTCTCATTCCTGTAGCTGTTTGTATGTGGTTGAATGATTGTTGTCTGAGAGATTGTTGGTATGAGTATAGGGCAGCCTGGAGGTCCCCTGTCACCTGTTGACAGATCCCCAGAATCTGCCACGATATGTCTCTGAATATTAAAGGTATAAACTGTCCCTGATCATAGTGAACTAGGGTCTGTAGATCATCTAGAGCTGTTTGTGTTCGCATTGTGTCTACATGTCTGTAGCACAAGATCTCTAGCATGTATAACATTATAAAGGGTGGAAGAAGTAATACAATCCACCGGTTCTGTAGAGCAGACTGTTGTTCAGGTATCAGTTCACTGATGTAATGGATTCTATTGATAAGTGTGATATTCCCTACTACAGCATGTCTCATCTTTGTAGACCAGGAGTGTCCCCCTACAGCCTCAGTGTACATCTCTCTATCTACATTATCCATATACATCCCTGTATCTACATTTGACCAATACATCAAATAGGGCTGTGCTAACTTCACCTTGATCATCTCTATAACAGATAAAGCTTTCACATATCTAAGTGTCTTGTAATAATATATGGCTATTTATCCCATGTTTACACCTTTATCCCGTGGATATAGCTCATGGGATATCGTTTTCATATCCCACAGTTATGACGTCACAATGGTTTTTGCGTTAACGTAAGGAAGTAAAATATAGCAAAGTCCTATACATAAAACAGTGTTAAACATCGGTTGTGAAGTATTAAACATGGGATAAAAAGAATCTCCCATGATTTGTAGTTGAATATGATTTTTATCCAACTCGTTGTGTGTATCTAAGTGTCTTGTAATAATATATGGCTATGTACAGCATGTCTGTAATACAGCCAAACTTGGCTGTTAATTTCAGCATGTGACAGGAGATTTTGTCAGCTCTATAACTCAGTTTGTTGTTGGGTGTGTACATTTCCATGTGAAACATAAAAGCAGTGTACTGAAGGACCTTAGCGGTCATGCGCTGTAGCATGAGGACTTGATACTGTGTCAGGAGGGGTGAACCTATCATCTGTTCTATTGTATGTAGATATCTAATGAAGCTTTGTATGTCCAATTTGCCTGGTAGTATGTTATGAGGTAGTATTTCACAAAATAGATTTCCATCAAACTCAGCCTCAGAAATCAGAGTATGATCATCTGTACAGATGGAGTTTCTGGGGTTATAGAGGACATCTATAATACAAGATCTGATGGAGGGACTATGTACCAGGAATGCTAAACCCTTTTCATACAACTCTGACAGTCTTATAAATAATTGATGTTGTTTGACGCCATGAATTTTACTCAGAAACATGTTGTTGCCTGGAATGAAAAAGTTAGGACAGACCCCCTCATACACCCATTTGAGGATGAGTTTGAAACAGACCCAGAAACCCTTCAGGAGATTTTGTGGACACCAGTGAGGAATTGTATTTTGTTGAATCACCCAAAAAACTGCCGTCTTCATGTGATAGGAACACAGTAATTTATCATCATCACCTACTCCATTGTTAATTATTTCTGTTAAGAACAATTTAAGTAAGCCGTAAGTTAAGAACTGACAGTGATTCATTACATACACAAGTTTTTGTTCTGCTAGGGAGAAAGAAATTCTCCATTCATGATCTTCATGATTTCCTAACTTATGTCCTATTGCTACAAAGTGACATCCATTTTTCACTATATCATCAACAACATGAGGCGGGGGCCATGAGTGACATCTGTCTATCCATGAGGAGGCAGAGGGAGGCCAAAAGTCACTGACAAAACAGTGGGCATAATCATAGTCTAGTGTTCCAAATGTTCCACTGGCACAGGGTCCATGTGGAGTTGGGTTATTATAAGATAGTGATAACCCAGATAAAACGATCTGTCTGTGTATAGAGCTAGATATATAATATTTATTATTCATTCTAACACAAGCTCTCTGGATGTGTCTATATATGCATGGTGACAGTAAATATAACAAAGTGTATCCTGGTGGACTATCAGAACAGTCACAGAAGATCAGTGTTGGTCTGTGTGTGTTGTAATACTGAGACTGAGATAATTCCCAGATCACACGGAGATTATTTTGCCAGTACATAAAGTCTATATCTGATCCTTTAAGTCTGAATCCTTCACTGTGACTTCCACTCACCATCGTACTGAACTCATCACTTGGTGTCACTTGATTCATCACCATCTCTCAGATGTCCACCACATCTCTCCTAAAGGCCACCAGTTGTGAGGTCCCCACTTTATGACACAGTCCCACAAACACCGACTCTGATATGTGTTGTATGACTTCAGTACTGAGAATTATTAAAGTGTGGTTTATATTCTTTTATAATAAAAGTTCCAATTTTGTAAATCTATAATGTACTCATCATAATTGATAATTTTAACATTCTAAAATCATAAAATAAAAAATACTTCTTCAACTGAATCAGTTATTATTCAACTCAACTAAATCATTCATTTTTTTTAAATAGTGAAATTTATAACTAAAAGTGTCTAGGATATATATTATGTTTTAAATTTAGTGGTGTAAAAAGTTAAAAACCAATCTTACTGTAAAAAAAATTACTCTGATTTACACTGATTCAGATGAATTAGGAATTGTTTTTAGAGTTATAAATTCTTGTAATTAAAACTTACATTTGTGAGCTTCTAATGGAGTCCATTTTCAGTGGCGTATATTCCTTTCTGCCGATTTAACCTTAAGGAGTTTCCTCTTGATAGGTATTGGGGAGTCAAGCTCAGACACCACGATTTTAACTTGACAAGTGAATATATAAATATTGTAGACGTATCTCAATTAACTCTGTTTAGGAAATATTGAAACTTTCTTAATAAATCAAATTCTGTCAAAATGTTCAATTTCCTACATACCCAATAAATTAGCTCAATTTATCAATTTCGTTTCCTGTATGTATTATGGACACCTGTTGCTTTCGATGAAATTTTCTGATACAGACTTGAGATAAATAACACTTGAACTTTGGTTTAAATATTTCCTGCTATGGAATTATTTTTGTCCTTAAGCAAAAGTGTAGAATAAAAGGATAGGTGTCAAATATTGGATTGCTAAGAATGGTTCTTATGTATGGTGGGGCATAAAGTGTTAGTTATGTCCATCTTCTGTCCTTCCCCCGGCGTCACACTTTGCATTTAGCTCAGTTCAAAGCTCATGCAGTTTCAAAGAAATTAAGATATTTTCACAAACTTCATATGAAGTTAAATGTTGATGAGAGTCACTCAGGTGACCTATTGCTATCTGTTTTCGTCCATTGACGTACGTCACAACTTCATGTGCTGACCCATGGATCAGGGATCTTAGTTTTAGGGTGGGGCTCTATTGATTTTATAGTAAAAATGCTTTAAATCTTTGAAAATCTTCTTCACTGCTACTGGGTATTAAAATAAACCAACAAAGTACATAGTATGATAAGCAAGAAAATGCCTGTACCAAAATTTTAAATTTCATGGCACTAGGTCAGGAGTTCTGGTATTAGGGTGTGGCTCTTTTGATTATAAAGTGAAAATGCATTATTTCTTTGAAAATCTTCTTTTCTGCTCTTGGATATTAACTTTGTGCATAGTTATGATGAGCAAGAGTGCCTCTACCAAAAATTGTGAATTTTGTGGACTGAGGTTCGGGGGTTCTGGTGTTAGGTTGGGGCTCTATTGGATATATGGAGAAATGGAAATATAAGGAATCACTTTAGTTAGTAGAGTATGCAAGGGACATCAACGATAACGGAAATATTGGATAATTTATGCATTGAGCGGGCTTCGCCAATTGCGAGTTTTTATCGTGAATCAATTTTTTTGATGATGGTTTGAATTATGTAAATAATAGGAATGTGTTTCAAGAGGTTGGCTAAATATTGTTAAAACTACTGTCAATTATCACATGGAGTAAGATTTTATATGAAAGGATCTACACTTTTTTACTTATTTTATGTGTAAGGATTTAGAGATGACAAAATGTTAAAAGTTAATATTCCAGGAAATTGATTTCTCTGTGAACACTGTCTTTAACAGAAAGATTTAAAGATATGTGATTTTTCACAGCAGATCGCATGATATATCCAAAAATTAAAGTGTATGATGAGCAAGAGAATGCCTCTACCAAAATTATAGATTTGATGGCCCTAGGGTCAGGAGTTCTTGTGTAAGGGTGGGGCTCCTTTGCTTATATAGTGAAAATGCATTATTTCTTTGTAAATCTTCTTTTCTGCTCCTGGATATTAACTTTGTGCATAGTTATGATGAGCAAGAGTGCCTCTACCAAAATTGTGAATTTTATGGCCTGAGGTTCAGGGGTTCTGGTGTTAGGGTGGGGCTCTATTGGATATATGGAGAAATGGAAATATAGGAATCACTTTATCAAAAAAATTATATGTAGTTAGAAATAAAAAGACCTCAATTTTGATTTTTATTCTGGTATAACAGAAAAAATGTACACCAAATGACTACAGGTCTATAAAAATTCTGTAAAAAAAACAAAAAAAAAAAAAAAATAAAACCCGCAGATTCGGATGAGAATCTAAGAATCTTTATTGTGGCCTCGTCAATAATGTCAGATGTTGACATTAATTGTTTAATCACAGCTGTCCTGTCTCATCATAACTGATCAGTAGTTCTCTACTTCCAATATAAGAGCAACACTTCAAGTGAAACATTTGTGTATAAATTTTTATATGGAAAGAAATACAATGTCCTGTTTTTCTGCATTTAAATTTGGAATGCTTAATCTCACAATTAGAAGCAGGTGGTACGTTATCCAAAATAGGAGGTTAAGCCTAACAAGATACCACTTGGAGAACGGTGAAGGCATGAGCCTGCTAAGGGGGGGGGGGGGGGTCTGAGCGTCTTTCCTTTTACCCTTTTGCAGATACAAGTGAATTAATCCTGGAGATTAAATCCCTAAGAACAAAACTGGCCTCCTTGAAATTTAATGATTCCCAGGTTCTTCAAATTTCACTCTTCAATTTTAACTTGTTTAAGTCCTCTATATAGTATGAAGATTTCATCCCTGTAAATTAACTTATCAATGAAATAGTAATTTAGCTAAGCTTAAGTCCACAATATTAAATGAATCCAGAATTAGGCATACCTATATCACTAGCTGCAGAACTGTAGTGTTATGGTTTTATATAGTAATCTTTGACCATTATGCTACAGTTCCCATAATGCAAACTATTTTTTGTGCACAGTTTTGGAGAATTTCAGCAATTTCCAACACTGGTAAATCTTCTACCTTTCCCTCAATAATTGTAGACACATTTTAAATAAATCTGTATGTTTTATACACCTCCCAAGCCTTTTTAGTCGTCTCTACAAGTGATAAACTGGATTGAATTAGAATTTTCTGCAATCTCTTAGAGAATTCAAATCAAGCTAGTTTATCACCTGTAGAGGTGACTATTAATTGTTGAGATGAGGATAAAATATACAAATTAGTTTAAGAATGTGTCTGGAAGTAGAGGGGTAAAAACTAAATGATTTACCAAAATTAGAAATTGAATTTCTCCTTTACAGTTGGCAAGAAATTTGCACAGTACATTGCACATTTTTTGGTCACCTGAAATTAGTCAATTGACCTTTTGCTATCTGTTTTTGTCTGTCGTCATCTGTCGTAAACTTTTGAACATTTTTAAGTTCTTTTCTAGACTTACTGAATAAATTTCAACCAAATTTGGTATACAGCATCAATGGGTGAAAGGAAACAAAAATTGTGAATTTCATAGCCACTTCAAAACTTCAAAGTAAGATAGGTAGAAAAATGACCAAAGTTGTATTGATTTTTTTGTGAACAAAGGGAAGTAACTCTTACTGACAATTAAATTTTCCAGATTTTCTTGAGTGAATTTGATTTTGTTATTTGTCTACTTCCTTGTTTACCAAATAGGAAACCATGACACTGAAATGTCAGACGACACTAAAATATTGATTGATTGTAAAAAGTTGATACATGGCATCAAAAGTTCCCAATATTTGTTACTAATGTAAATAATTGGTCAAGTGGTGCGGGATTGTGAACTAAAATTAATAAATATGTTAAGTCTTTATTTAACACCAATATCAACTGAGTACATCTGACAGTTACCTGTCTGTTTAATTACACAAATATCCATTACATGCATTTAAAATATATATATATATATATATATATATGTATAAAAGTTTATTTTACAATTCAAGTTTAGATAAAAAAAATATTTGATTGATTTTCTTCATTGCGTAATATATTCGTTCCTTACACAAGAGAAAAAATTGTTGCTTTGATGGGGGATAATGCTTTTACCTTGTAAGATTCTATATACAAATATTTTATAATTTTCTAGGATTCATTGAATTTTGTTTGAATTCATCCACAGAAGTCATGCGAAATAAAAATTACAATATATAAGTTCCTTGTATATTTCTAGTGAAATACATTAATTTATATATAAACACAAGTAAACTGGCATATTTGTATAAATAAATTCCTTTAAAAAGATGAACCTCTATCCAAAGGTCACCTCGCTATAAAGGTCACTTTTAATATCTCTCGTGGGTGATTGATAAATACAGGTTTGACTGTAATTATGATAAGCAATGGTGCCTCTTTCATTTTATTATGGACTAGTTATGTCTCCCCTTCTGAAGGGGAGACATATTGTTTTTGTCGATTTTCTTCTTCTTCTTCTTCTTCTTCTTCTTCATCCAAATTTTGTCCAGGCCGTAACTTGAATACCCTTTGACCTGAAGACTTCATACTTGGAACATAGATAGATGACCTTGAGGCGAAGTGTCCGCCACCAAAATTTTTGACCTTTTACATTAAAATAGAGTTTTGGCAATAGCTTTAGTACCCTTTAATATTAGGACTTCAAACTTCAAATATAGAAAGAAGACATTAAATACAAGATGTAGTGCACCTAAACTTTGACCTTGACCCCTTTCTATGTTCAAGGTCAAATAGAGAAAAAACATGATTTTAACATAACTTTAGATACCTCAGACATTTAGACTTCAAACTTGGAATATGCAGAAGACACATAGGAGAAGGGTGTATGTGATCAAAATTGTTGACCTTGATCCAATGTTTATAGGGTCAAGGTCAAACTTCGCAACAAAATAGAGTTTAGGCCATAGCTTGAATACCATTTGATATTAGGACTTCAAACTTAAAACATAGAAGGGAGACATTAAATACATGATGCAGTGCACAGGAACTTTGATCTTGACCCTTTTTTTGTTCAAGGTCAAACATAGAAAAACATGATTTGACCACTACTTGAGATATCTTTGAGATTTAGACTTCAAACTGGGAACATGCAGAGGACACATTGGAGAAAGTTTATGTGATCATATTATATGACCTTGATCCAATATTATTAGGTCAAGGTCAAATTTTCACATCTAAATAGAGTCTAGGTCATAGCTTGAGTACCCTTTGATATTATGACTTCAAACATGTAACATAGAAAGAAGACATTAAATACAAGATCTAGTGCACAAGGATTTTGACCTTGACCCAAGGTCAAATAGAGAAAAAAACATGTTTTGAACATAACTTGAGAATCTTTTGACATTTAGACTTCAAACTTGTAACATGCAGAGGACTCTTAGATGGAGAGATTATGTGATGAAAATTTTTGACCTTGATCCAATTATTATTAGGTCAAGGTCAAACGTTCATATGAAATATATTTGAATTGATAACTTTATACCTTTCTTGACATTAGGATTGTTATTTGGAACAAGTAAAGACAACTTTAAGCCTAAATACACTACATCAATTTTTTTGACCTTGACCATTTTTTTCTTTTAAGATTGAATTAAGAAAAAAAACATGACC